AAAAAAAGTAATGAAAAAGTACATAACAAAAAAGTGAGAGAAATCGATCCCAAGACAAGTGATGCACTGGGCAACTGCCCACCACCTGCTGACCGACGCCCCAGCAGCAATTCCCCCCCCAGCCCATGTGCTGAGCCTGACACTCCATGGTATGGAATAGCCCGTGGGCTAGTTCAGGTCACCTGTCCTGGCCACGCTCCCTCCCAGCTTCTTGTGCACCCCCTCGCTGGGGGAGCAGGGGAAACTGAAACGTCCTCAGCTCAGAGTAAGTGCTACATAGCAACAGCTCAAGCATCAGTGTGTTACCAACATTATTCTCCCACTGAATCCACAACACAGCACGGCACCAGCTACTAGGAAGAAAATTAACTCTATCCCAGCCAGAACCAGGACAACATGCATTAACTGATAACACTAACATTCTTAATATTAGTCTCCTACTACTGTGCTACTGTTGTTCAGCAGTTAAAACTTCAGACCATGATGAAGCAGGCCCCCCCCTGAAACTGACTGTGGAGCATGTCAGAGCAGATATCCACGCTGCAGCCTGTGGACAGCCCCACGTCTGCAGGTGGACAAGCCCTGAGGAAAGCTGCAGCCCGTGGAGAACCCATGCCAGAGCAGGTTTTCTAGCAGAAACTGCGGCGGGGGGGGGGGGGGGGGGGGGCACCCGTGCTAGGACAGTCTGTTCCTGAAGGACCACACCCTCGAAAGGAGGATCCACACTGGCGTGGTTCATGGAAGACTGATTCCCATGGGAGGAACCCCAAGCTGAAGCAGGGGAACAGTGTGAGGAAGGAGGAGCAGCTGAAAGGTTAGAGACTGACCACGGCCCAACCGCCCACTAACCATCCCCAACCCCTCTGCACCACTGTGGAAGAGGAGGTAGAAGAGTGAAGCTGATTCGAGTAAAAAAGGGGAGGTTGGAGGAAGGCGTTTTAATTTTTCTCTTTGTTGCTATCCTACTTTAAATTAATTTATTGCCCATTAATTTTCCCCAAGACCAGTTTGTTTTGCCTATTATGGTAACCAGTGAGCAGTCTTCCTGTTTCAACTCTTGAGTTTTTTCACATTTTGTCCTCCTGGCCTGCTGAGAGGGCATGAGAATGGTTTGGTGGGTGGCTGACAGCCAGACAAGGTTAACCCACCACAAAAGGTTTATTCATCTACAACTATGCAGTAATACCTCATCCTAAACACTAGAAAAATGGGCCATTTAACCAATTGGAGGTCAACATTTTCTGTGTAATTCCAACTCCCTGTCTCTCCTCTCACTTTGCCCATCCAGCTCACGTAACACTGGCTGCCCTGGTTCTTGCCAGCCTGGCCTATTTCAGTGTTTAACATTTAATGGCATAGAAAGATGTCAGAATTCCCCCTACACCAGCATTTGCATATCCTGAAGTTTCCTTGATCTGGTTCTCATCCTATACAAAACTAATTGCCTCTGAAAAACAGCAACAAGGCTGGCTTCCTTGCTACTCATTTAAAAAGTCCTCTCACACAGGGTATAATTGCAAAACTGCTTGAGTCACATTTCTAAGGATAATTTTCACCATCACTTTTGTCAATCAAAGTAAGCTCATTTTTCACTAGTGTGTTTTAGTCCAAATAAACCAATTAAACCGTTTTAGAGCTGAAGTGTCTGTAAGCTACAGGTTGAGATTCACTGCTAAGTAAACAAATACATGAATGCATAAACTAGCCAGAGCCTGTACTGTCCTGGGTTGAGTGAGTGGTGGAGTTTTTTGGTGGCAGGGGAGGGGGCTATAGAGGCGGCCCCCTGTGAGAAGCTTCTTGAAGCTCCCCCAGCTCCAAGTCAGCTCCACTTCTGTTTGGGAAACTGAGCCAATCGGCTGCGCCTCTGCAATAACGTATTTAAGAAGGGACCTGGGAGGAGGAGTTGGACTTGTGAGGAGGAGTTGCTGCAGCTGCGTGAACACCAAGGTCAGTGGAGGAATGGAGGAAGAAAGGAGGGGGGAGGTGTGCTGGAGCAGAGACCCCCCTGTATCCTGTGGGGAGACAGCAGGGCGGCCCCCCCTGCCACCCATGAAGATCTACGGTGGAGCAGACATTGATTTATGGCCTGTGGCTTCTGCTTGCATGATCAAGGTTCTGTGACCAAAGAAGGCCGGGGTCTCATGAGAAAAGGTAGCTCTGCTGCTGTAATTCAGTGCTGGGAGGATTGCAGCATGCGGGGGTGTCCCACGCTGGAGCAGCTCGGGAAGGGCTGCAGCCGTGGGAGGGAATCCAGTTGGAAAAAGTTGGTGTCCCACAATGGAGCAGTGTGGGGAACGCTGCAGCCCATGGGAGGGACTCACATCAGAGAGAGTTTGTGGAGGGCTGTCTCCTGTGAGAGGGGGACCATGATGGAGCAGGGGGAACAAGTTCCAGAAGCTCCCCACCAAAGATGGAAGAAGCAGCAGCGCTGACTGCACCCCCCATTCCCTGCCCCTGCACCACTGAGGGGAGGAGGTAGAGATATCGGGAGCAGAGCTGAGCCTGGGAAGAAGGGAGGGGTGGGGGGAAGGTGTTCTCCAGATGTGGCAATGCTTCTCACTGTCCTACACCGGTATGTGTCATTAGTGTCTGTAATAAATGTCTGCTCTTTTTTTTCTTCCCCCAACGAGTTTGCCTTTTGCTCGTGATCATAAAGGGGGATTTTTCCCCATCCCAGTCCTATCTCGAACCCCAAGCCTGACTCTCTGTCCCTTCTTATGGCCAGAAGATAAGGGAGAGAGAGCCACTGCATGGTGGTTGGCTGCTGACCAGGCTCAAACCATGACATATACAAATGCAGTCCCTTCTCATTATAAGCTGAAGGGAAAAGTTGTCTACAGCTATAATGACATTATGAAAGATGTGTAACTTGTTCACCGTGGTAAGCTGGCTTCAGCTGAAGGAATGAGAGCCCCGATTTAATGTCTCGTCAGAGTTTTCTATCCTAGAGCTTAAGACTGTTGCTATTCTGGGGGGCAGTGAGATGAATGCCAGTTTCGACCGAGTGGCAAAAGTAGCCCATTAAAGGAAGGAGCTTTCTCATACCACTCCGAAAGATACAGCTGGCTCTTACTGAATTTTCTATGTATCATGTACCACCTGAAATAAGTAAACTCAAGAAGTTTCCTACCAGAGAGCACTGAGAAGAGACTTTACAAAAGCCCACAACTGGAGGATGAAGCTAGCTAAACAATTCAGACATAAGGCAACTAATCATTCTTTCATATCTTTTTTAATTTACTGCTTCCTATCAAAAAGAGAAACACCCTACCACCAGACACAGAAAAAGCAATGCCCCGGAATAAACTGTGCTTGGAGACCTTCGTAAGGCAGTTTCTTAAATTCACCTGTAACTACTGGCTTTGAAGCTTGTATTTGTTCCAAGAGTCTCAGACTAGACTGACAGAATTATTCCTTTCTAGATGAACTACTGCTAACTTTCAAGACTGATTCTGAGAAATTTCTGAAAAAAAATGTTTTGTCATTGGCCAGTGATGCTTGACATCCTACTTGAAATATAGGTAGCAGTGACTAGACCTCCCTAAATTGGCTTATACTGCCTGCTCAAGTCTCAGCTTTATCCTTGGCATGTTCTCCAGCTGCACCTGCAGCTCTGACAGAACCATTAGGTGTAGCCCAGTAGAACTTCTTCTGCAGTGAACAGGTAAGCCTGACTAATTTCTGGGACTAATTTATCCTCCAAAACTGGAAGAGATTTTCATGAAGACTGAGAATCCATGTTCTGTCTTCAAACAGAAGTCACATTCATGCAACTTCGCATTGTCTAACTGCAGTTTTGTGACAGCACTTGGTTACTGATTTTGCATGGCTTTTTAAGCATCCTTCACTAAGACCAGTCATCCCGCAGGATCCCTTCCATACTGTTATCAAGAACCAGATTAGGTTTAACCCTCAAGGAAGAAAGTACTGAACAGCTTTACCATGCAGGTGAATTCTTCAGCAGGTATGTCCCGTATGCTACAAAATTAGCCCTGTATAGACTTGTTAGATCTTGTCTATTTGATTAGTGTTTTTCCAACAGGCTTGCAACCCAACCTAAATTGAACAGACATTAAAGGCAGGTCTTGCTAACACAAAACAGCTCAGCTAAGCTCAGTAGTCTGTCACTTCGTGTATGATAGCTGAAAATCTCCTGTTCATTGCACCTATACCAACACTTTCTTTCTTCAAGTGCATGCTTCTACTTGACAGGCAATCTGAAGGTACAGAGATACATTAACGCTGCATTAGATTTTATAACCACAACATATACAGGCCTTCTTTGCAACCACATGCTTAAATTGATAAAATACGTATTTCTGAAGCTCTTTTACCTACAGATATGTAACAGAGAACTATGTATTTTTATAAAGAACATAACAGATTCTCAAAGTCATCAAAAGTGAGGGAAGAACTCTAGCATTAGGGAAGAGTAAAGCAATTTAGAAAAGGCTGTGCTTTTAAGTTGCTTCAGATGAACGTAGGGGAATTCCAGCCAACTAGCTGCTTACTGCCCTCAGTAAGAATAAAGACTTTTCTAGTCCCATGCCCTTCTATCCCTAAAATTTCCAGCTGCTTGCTTTTTGTATTTTTCACAGAATAAGACACATAATACTTTTAATGATAAATAATAAAACACAGTAGCAGAACACTAATATGCTTGTACTGAAAGGGGAAGCAGATGGATACTGAAAAAGCAAAATTTTCCATTGTTTTTCTACCTGTGATCAACTCAGTTGTGCAAAGAATACTTAGCTTTGCTACCAGTGACTCTTAGATACACCTTGTTTCAAGAACCACATTCTTCTCCAGGCAACAAGCCAGTGCCCTCATTTTAACATTTCTCAGATCAGATAATTTTTACATTTTTGAGGCATGCATATTTTCCACATAGCTCCAACTCTAGCTGTCTAAATGTGGAATCATTTAGCAGTACTTCTACTCCAAGCTTAAACAAAACATTAGTGCAATGAATAAAGACAACTCAAATATGCTTTTTATCATGTTGAAAATCAAGTTTCACTGATTAATTTTTATTTACAAAGACAGAAATTTACAACAAATTTTATATCCCTCATAATTAAATTATTTAACAAAGGCTAAACCCTGAGTTAGCAAAAGCTATTGCTTCACTGAAGTTTCAGAAATTGCCAACAAACATTTTTATATTTTTGGCTCCCAGTACGAATTCTTCACAGAGCATTTTCAAAGCTTTAAATCAGAGACAAAACATAAAAATCAAAACCGAGCAAGATGATAAGTATCAGTGCAGCTTTAGTTAACTAGCTGTGCATCAGCTAGAGTACAGTACTAAACATTTGTTGAGATTCAAGACACAGGAGTTATGAACTACAACTCCATTTTTCAAATCATTAATAGCACTTTAAAAAATAATACATGCATAATATAGGGATACTAGTTTCAAATCAGATACAATCAAGCGAGTGATGATTAATGCATATGTTAATGTAGAAAGACCTATTGGTTTTAAAATACTGTGGCCAGTTCATTATGATTACAGTAATCAAACTTCTTACTCTAGCCCATGAGTCAGTTGACAGTCTTCACAAATGTTCTTTGCAACAAATGAAACTGGTTCTTGCCACTATTGTAAACTACTACAGAATCATTTGAAGGAAAAATACCCAACTGGGGAGCTGCTGTCCATCACAGCTCACACTAATTAAAGTGTCACAAAATTTTCTTTCACATGCCCTGCAAACTTCCCAGTACTGGCATGTTTTTACTCAAAATGATGATGCATGCACAAAACCTGCTTGGCATGTGATTTGGCAATACTCATGTAATGAACAAAATCTGTACAACTTGTAGCATGGTATTCATATTACAGAATGTTTTACATATAGTGTGGAAAAAAGCATGACAAAGTCTTTTCAGGAACACAGTTCTTTGAATTGCAGAAACAAATATCAACTATTATACTGCACTGAAAAAAAAAACCTGGGAGTATGAGAAAACCCCAGAGAGGTCAGTGGCTTCTGAACTCAAAGCTTGTCAATAATAACTGGAAAATATTCTAAATCACACAGTCATTTATAAAACCCATCCTGTGGAAATAATACAAGAGCAATCCAGAGATATTAGACATCTTTTTAAAGATGACACTTCTTGGTGTTTTTCCTTATGGAAAGCAAACCGTATTTTAAGAAACGGTTAAATGTATTAGCAAAGTGCAATACTGTCATATTACCAAAAGTCTCTCCAGAGGAGATACTAAAAATTAGCCAATTCTAATAAATTAGAAGATAACTTGAAATTTAGAGTAGACTAATGATAAGACATCCACATAAAGGAGTGGGGACTTAGCACTGTTACATACAAGAAAGCAAGTCACATGCTTATATGCTGATACTGAAAGATCCCAGCTGGAACAAAACCACAAGATGATAGTCAGGTCAAACCAACCCACTCGAGTTGTAACAATGAAGAGAAGGGCAAAAGGGTAGGAACTAAGTTTTTAACAGAAACATTATTTGGAAAAGATAATCTACATAAATAATTACCACAGTCCATCATAATATAAATTTTTCTGCATTGTGCCTTTGCCAAGGAATGCAGCTCACACAAGCATCATAGCTTTCAGTGACTTTATCGAGTAACAAAATCAGTATTTAGGACTTTGCCACCTCTGTCCCCCCACCATGTGAACAGCATCTTTTAGTTGAAGGTCATACTTTAATAGGACGGGTAGGATCGGTAGGTGTTAGTCCCCACATATGTAGGAAGTATGGTTATATTTTATCAAAATAACTTCATGAGGCCCTTTCATTAAAATTGACATCACATTAACATTACCTTCTCAAATGCAGTTTTCATTTTAAGAAACCTGCTAGTCAAACTGCCATTTCAGTGGCAGAACCAAGGTGAACTGTATTCACATTAACACAAAGTTATCACTATATCCCCAAGAGAGCAGTAATCTTTAAATAGTCACACTGCCAACGAAACACCATTTGTGGCCAAAGTACTTTAAATTCTTGTGAAAGTCTCTGGCATCTTGTTAGAAAGTGTTTGCTACAACAGCATTCTGCATCAGAGATTACCCTATTAGTGCTGCATTACTGTCAACATTAAAAGACAAAAAGGTCGTAAGTGCAGGACCAACCAGAAGAAAACGTCCAGTTTGGAAACCTCTCCAGCAAGGCAAAGAGTTGCGGTGACTTTTGATCCTCCCCAAAAAAGTAATGTGCTGCTATGGCGAGGGAGACTATTCCATCAGAATGCTTTTCTGGGGTCTGAAAGTGAGAAAAGGGCAACAGAGTCTTTATGATTGTTTATGGCTTTTAAACGTAAGATCAATGCAGATGCAGTTTTCTACAATCTTAGTATCTATGCAACAAACTTCATCCTGCACCTGTTAAAACACTTCCTATCTTCAAAGGTATCAGTCTGACTACGTGATGAGTTCACTTGGAATTGAACATGCCTCTGACATGCTACACAGCTTGCATATGCTCGAACTTCAATGTTTGTATCTGTCAGTTTTGCTGATAAATTCAGACATGGACTCTGTCACAGTATTTATACTGGTCTTTCTATTGTGAATTCTTAGGATGGAAAGCCTTTTCTGCCTAGCTTCGCCACGATCAACCTCACAAAGCTTGTCACACTGCAGACTCCTGTCTGCCTTTATCAAGTACCCTCAGAGGATCATTTGGTTAAGTATTCAGACTGCCTGATCCAGGTGAGAACAAAGGACTTTCTGAACTTTCAAAGGTTCTAGTAATATTTACTCAAAGAATAAGATACTGTTAAACACGTAATAAAAACATACAGATCTGCAAAAAGTTTTTCACTGGCAAGTTAATAGAGGGGACCATAAATCCCATTGGAACAGCAATGCTGGAAGCCTTGCTTCCAACTGAAAATAATGTAAAAGAAAATACAGAAAACAAACAACTCTCTTCAGCTTTAAGACAGATAAAGTTTCCCACCAAGGACTCCATATAATTTCCCAAGACCAAGCAAAAATATATGAGAAGGAAACTACTCACAATAGGAAAGAGCTCTGAAATAACAGCAATAAAGATAAAATTTCAAGAACCATGAGGTTTAAATCAGAGAAATCCAAACTAAGACCAAGACAACGGAGACAAGGAAAATACTCTCCCTTTAGCTATCTGGAAAGTTAGTGGACTAAGCTTCAAAAATGTATGTGAGCTGATATATAAAGTTGAGGAACAAATTAAGAGAAGGAAGCTGGAATTAGTATCTATTAAATAAAACAAATCTTAAGAAAGTTATTATGATATTTTTCATATAAGAATGAAGAAATGGTGACAACAGGGCACACCAAGGGAATGCCAGGTTTCCAGCAGCAGCAGACTCACCGTAAGTTCTACCCAGAAGTGCCACGGTGTAGCCTGCAGTCCGTGGGAGTAAAACACAAAGTAGTCTCCTCCTAAGCTAGCAACTGGCGTACCATCCCCAAGAGACCACGTGGACAGAGCTGACCCTTCATGTGGCCGAACGTACAGAGACATGTGACTTGGACCTGCAGGGACAGGGATACTTACCCAGAGGTATCAACAGGTAGAGGTAAAACAACCTTTAATTTTCCTATATAGTAGAATTTTATCTGTGTATTACTATTCAGGTCTTCCAAACACCATACAACTGTCTTCTTTACAGAAGAAGCTTCAGTTATTTCCAAGCAGTGAGATAAATGAGATGATGATGTAAGGAGAGGGACAGAGTTATAAAACGGGCGTTAAGAAAGGACTTGCTATAAAAAGATCAAGGCTTACTCAAAATAAGCAAGGTTATCAGTTGTCCAGGTAATAACTGCAACACAACACCTACAACTTCTAGTGTGTTATGAAACTGAATTAGTTCACACTAATCTCACAAAGCTCACTATTTTGGGAATGGCACTAGAACCTGCAGTACTGGAGTCAAAACCTGATTTATTATGGGCATAAAAATAAACACAAATCACAAACCAGAAGCTTCAGTCACTCACCAGATACTTCAAAGCTTAACCTTACAGAATTCCAGGGCATCAGCTCCTTGGACAGAACTTTAAATTGAATGGGTCTTCTAGGAAAAATTTCTGTACCAGGAAGATACCAGTTTTTCCTGTTCAAAAAAAAAAGCTGGTGCTAAATATGAGAAGCCAAGAAGTAGTTTTCTATAGTATAGATGACTGCTGTTACTAAATGAAATATTCAAAAACTACCAATTCTAGCAGAAGGCAGGAAAGTTAGCAGCTTGTGGCCAAATAAATATTTAAAGGACATATTAATAGCAAAATAGTCACCAGTGTATTCATTCATTACCTTCATCAGCCTTAATTTACAAAACAATAAAATAAGTAAAAATATCTGCACCTTCAAACTGCTACACTTCTGCTCACAAGATTCTTGGGGTATGAGAAATAGTCACAGCAGCTAGTTTTCTTCTGTGGAGACCAGCTACTTTAGACTTCCTCTCATGTCAGCTGGGGTTAGCAGGGGAAGAAGGGAAGAGACACACATTTGCTTACTCTGAACTGCACTTTAGAAGGTCCCCCCTTCTCCTTTTTCGACACTGGTGCTGACATCCATTTTATACACATCAACTTCTACAGCTCCTGCAGCAGACCCAGCAATCTCCTGCAGAGATTCTGGCAGAAGACAGTGCACCTAGACAGAAGTTTAATTGTCTTCTGAAGTGGAAGGATAATTTACTTTTAGACCAAGATCAGCCTTACTTTTTCTCTCCTTGCATAAGTGAAATTGCATAAATGACTGATGTGCTTTGGCAGTAAGTGCTCAAGTAAAGCAGTGTTCTTGCCAACCTGAACATGAAATGCACTGGTAGAATCCAAGGAAGGCCACAGAAAGGAGCTTGCTCCTCGCATGGAGTTCTAATGGTGTCATTGATTTCAGGTACATGCGGAGTTATGTGAGATATTCCATTATAATCAAATCCATTAATCCATATACCAGAGTCACTTTTAACCACATTTCCATCTAGATCATGAAATCTTCTGCTCATGTGCTAGAAGAAAGATACACAAGAAGATGATGCAGCCTGTGCAGTTCGCAAGACTCAGAAGTGAGTCTGAAATTATCCTCCATATCAATCCCTAAGGTTTACTGCATTTTCAGTATGCACAAACACATACCTATTTATGAATATATAGAGAGAATTATTCAAATAAAAGAAACATACCATGAAAACATCTACATTCAGACGATGACTATGCCTGTAAGTAACTTCTCATCTCCTATCATGTTTAAGTTATCATTGCTTACTCAACTCTCCTACTTAAAATCCCCTAAAAAACCCCTGCTCTTCTGGCACAGATGACCTGAACACAGAGCCTGAACAAGAGAAACATTTGCAATTCTTTCAAATCTGGGAATAATTGTTACAGTTTTTATATCAAGCAAGAAAGAGAAAGTTACTCTTTAAGGGGAAGGGGGGTGGAGAGGGTTAAGCTTTGGAAAAAAAAAAAGCTCTTGGAACCAACAGAGGCAATATGATATGCAAGGCTTTTCTTACCTGGAGAAAGACTCGCTTAGGCTTTGGATTAGCTGCATCAGAACTGTAAGGAAAGAAGATTCCACTACAGACAAGAATCAGAGTGACTGCAAACACAGTAGTTAGAGCTATTAGCGTTGCTTTTGTACTTTTGATGAGGTAAATGAAGTTAATCTAGAGAATAAAAAGATGGCCCAGTTATAAAACTGCAAGACTTCAGAAATAAGATACCACTCATTTAGCTCTAAAATCCAATTATGGAACTGAAAGTACATTAAAAATGGTATCATTGCAAGTACTACCTGCCACAAGACACTTTTTTGTAATCTCAGTATTTAAAATGAAAAGGAATAAAGTGAGTCCTTCCTGGAATTTTAAAAAATTTCTTATTTTTTAAAGTATCTGTCAACAAAAACCTAGAACCTTTGTAGCAAAAAACCAAAACAAAACACTGAGATTTTTTTTTAAGTGTAGCACATGTATTGTTCAGTCACGTACTATACTTCATCTAAAATTAATGGCAAACTCCAGCACTGAATTGCATATTTTAAACCGAGCTTTAATACATCATCATAGAGCAAATATATTTTTGTAACCCATTCTCCAATGGCTTTTCTTTGACCAACACAAAACATGGAATCTTTGACATGGTTCATGGAGTTTCCTGTAGCATTTAAGATATTGTCAAATTATCATTACCTTCAAGTATTAATATAGAAAACATTGATTCTAAACTCCAGAGAAAGTTTAAGAAGTTTAAATAACATTCTACTTACGAAGTAGGATGACAGAATCATAGTGATGACCACAATAAATCCTGCCAACACCACATCTGGTAGAATTTCTGAACCACTTCGTCCCATGATAGGCGTAAACATTTCAAATACAGTCCAACTAAGATACATCATATACAGATAGGGAACAAACATTCCCAGCATGTACATCATGACAAATTTCATTGTGGCACCTACAGGGGATAGGAAAAAAAACAAACAAACAAACAAAAAAAAAAACAGTACCACCCATAAAAGCTTAAAAGGAAAACCACAGAGCTTTACTAATATATCCATATACTGCTGCAAGGCCCAATACACAATACTGGTCCTCATCCCTGATATGAATATGGAAAGGGGATGTCATTTTGCATAGCCAATGCCAATATAAGTCTTTCAAAAACACCACAAAACTATTCTTATATTACAAAAAAAGAACGTAAAGAGTTCTGTCCCAAATGCTGTTTAGATATTACAGTATTTTTTAAACAATCTTTACTGTCCATCAAAGTATCTGATCAGTTATTAATAACCCCATATAGCATTGTTCTTTTTAGCCTGAGACACAGGATATTATTCAGTGTATTGTTTTTTAAAGAGCTTCTCCATAGTTTCAAACTGTCTTTAGGTCAAGAACACTTTTTCTTGTTACAAAAATCTCACGTTTACTTTGACTATTCCAGTTGAAAGTTTGGGATTTCTTTTGCTTAAATAATAGTTTGGAGGAAAAAACTCAATAGCAGGGGCAAAGATTTCAAAATACAACCTCCCCCCTTCAAAACCCATACCTTTTTGGCTGAATTCTTTATGGATCATCATCTTAGTGAGTAAAGGAAATGCTACCCATAACATACAAATGAATGCTGAACAAAGGCCCATCTGAGTAATCATAGCCAATGCTATAGACCAAATCATCAATGAGGCATCAAAAAAAGTATCTCCCAGGTACAGTTCATTCACGTTCTGTAACAAAAAAAGCAGCTATACTCATTACTGAGCATATTCCATGTATCACGTCTCATGAAAACACACAGAAGAATCCTTAATTCTTGTATATAACTGTTTTCCTTGGACAAAAGAATTTTGACAAACATCATCTCACCATTCTCTTACCATCCATGGCAGTATATATTTTTTTAATTCTTTAAATCCGCTCTCACACAGCTTGGAAAAGATTACATGGGCTGGGGCGGAGGGGGTATGGAAATGTACAGGTGACAATACCAAGAAGATGGAAGGCTAATGACTCAGGTACAAAGGCAAGAAGGGCCTTTTTATAAAAAGCATTGGTATTCATGAAGCATATAAGAAAGTTATGTAGTACTTAGTGTGACAAAATTATCTGTATCTCCTGAGATTCAAAAACTGGTTTTGAACAGCAGATGTTAATGTACTTCTTATACAAGCACTGTTATTAGTGCACAAACATTATACACATATGTTGTGCCACAGCTGTCACTTCAGAAGTCTGCTTTTTTAAATGTATTATTTGTTTTGAAGAAAAGACATGCATGGGTCAGATAATACACAGTATGTTTTCAATAAAGAAGGAAGTTTAACCATCAAAAATGTGGTTTGTTTTTGTGGTTAAGTTACTTGAGCAATGCTGCAGTGTTTGTAGTGCAAGAGTCTTAACTGTGAATCCTGCTAGTAGCAAGGAGGGCTGCCTGCATGAACAATGGTGACTAGAAAGCACCTAGTTCAATTTTGGGCTGAGAATAAAAAAATACGAAAAGGAGGGGGGGGGGGAGAAAAACATATGAGTTGCCAAACCTATTTCAAAACTAAAAGCTTATTAATTCACAAGTTCTTGAGCCACTAACAGAAAACACCCAGGCATTGCCTGTGATAGCCAAGAGATTAGCTTCCAAAATTTTTATGCAACTCTATGTACAATGTAAATTACAGAGGCAGCATAAACTGTATGGTGTACTGCAAGCTACATCATGCAAGAAAATGAAGAGACTCATGGTATCAAGTTGGTTGATCTGCTGATCAGACAATTAGCAAGCAAGAAGAAGATCCAGGGCCTGGAACAGCTGAATATGTAATGAAAGTATGCTCTTCCTCAGCTCTTGTGAAAGACTAGAAAATGGTAGCATCACATCTATTTTATAAATGGCTCACCTTTTCCACAAAAGGACTCCATCACATACATATATTTGTTAACATACACATATCTGTTAAACCTGACCCCAAAAATTTAAAAACCCACTTCCAGATAAAGACATGATGGATCCACCCAGAACTTTCCATACAATCAAATTTCACTAAGTTCTTAAAACTTCTTCAAATACTTGGATGAAGCTGTCTTTGTCTGACAGCTTAGGCTTCTTGAATTCCCTTCTCTAAACTTGTACAAATGGCCAAGAAGACAAGTAACAGCAAGCTGAATGACTAAATATTACTGGACCTAAAACCAAAATCTAACAGGCTCTGGTAGTTGTCTTCTGCCTTGGAAGAGTATCATCTGGGCACCACCTCAAGGCCCTGTTTGTTTTTAATACAAAACCATTAAACTATCATCTAAACATATGGGATTGTGATGACCTATAATTAGGAAGTTAAGTCGTGTTTGTTAGTCCATGAAAGAGAATTCTAAGCAAAAAATGTAGATGGGACAGTAATCATGACAAATGACAGCAATGGAGAGGTAACACACTAAATCCTCACCAAGCATTGCAGGGGCCTAGATGACCTTTACCTATTGCAGAAAGGAACATGGCCTATCAAGAGCTCTGTTCCATCATCCAATGATTAGAGGATCACATGCACCCTGATGAAGTTTGCTGATGATACCAAACTGAGTGGGGAAGCAGACACTTTGGAAGGGAGAGCCACCCTGCAGGAACACCTGGATAGGCTGCCTAAGTGGGCTAAGAAGATCCCTATGAAGTTCAGCAAAGACAAGTGTAAGGTCTTACACCTGGAAAAACATAATCCAGGAGTGCAGCACAGGCTGAGATCTACCTGGCTGGGGAGTAGCTCTGTGGAAAAGGACCTGGGGGTCCTGGGGGACAACAACCTCAATATGAGTGAACAGTGTGCTGCTGTGGCAAAACAAGCCAACAGGATGCTGGGTTGCATCGACAAGGGCATCACCAGCAGAGATGAAGAAGTCATTCTCCCATGCTACTCAGTGCTTGTCAGGACAGACCTGGAATGCTGTGTTCAGTTTCGGTCCCCACAATACAAAAAAGATACAGGCAGGCTGAAGAGGGTGCAGAGGAAGGCCACAAAGGTGATTAAGGGACTGCGAAGGCTGAGAGAATTGAGTTTACTCTTCCTTGAGAAAAGAAGGCTTAGGGGAGACCTTATCACCATGCTCCAGTACTCAGAGGATGGCTACAAAGATGGAGACTGCCTTTTTAGGAGTCACATGGAAAGGTTGAGGGGTGATGGGTAAACCTTACTCCTGGGGACATTCCAGTTGCACACAAGAGGAAAATTTTTCACAATGAGACCAATCAGCCATTGGAAAAATCTCCCCAGGGAAGTGGTGGATTCCCCAACATCAGACACTTCCAAGATACAGCTGGACGGGGTGCTGGGCCACCTTGCCATGTCCATGCTTCTGCCAAGAAAGGTTGGACCAAATGATCCTTGAGGTCTTTTCCAACCTGGTATTCTATGAGTCTATGATCTCCGGCTCTGGTCAAAACAACTAACAATCAGAATAATCATAGAGGGAAGGGCGACTACTCAAATTTTTACCACAGCTTCATTTAGAAAGTTCTGTACAGCACAAATTACTGTATTAGAAGAGAGCATAACAGAACTAGAAATTCTGATAGATATAAGAAAAAAGCTCTTATATGAACCATATAAAAAAACCCATGTTATTTGCTTAGAAGGTTATGAATACAAATGACATCAGCAAAACAACCTGCTTAATAAAACAACAGAATAAAACAGAGAACTGAAATTTCAAGTTTCACAACAAAACGTAAATGATAAATTAGATTAAAAAAAGAACAAAAAGATTAAAAGATACATAAGGAGGTACCATACCAAAGTAAATTATTAAGTTTAGGGAACCTGTCATACAAGCACATTCAAAGGCAAGAATCTGGTAAAATTCAAAGAACATTCAAGTATATATATAAGATTCCATAATTATCAAGAATATGGAAAGGTATAAATAAAAAAAAAAAATTCTCCAGCTGTTGCTCTGCTCTCTTATCACTAAAGTGATGGCAGGAAGGGAAGGTGCAAATAGGCAAAGAAACAGTACCTTATATTGTATTATACCAGGCTTTTGCCTTTTTTTCCGAGGCAGCTCTTGAAGGTCATTAGCAAGGAAAAAGCCTTAAATGACAAAGCTCTTAACTCTTAGTAGAACAATTCCTATGCTTAGATGAGGCAATTTTTACATCAACATTTTAAATACTTCTGCCCAATACAGAAAACTTTTTGCATCTTTTAATCAACATAAAAATTAAGTCTTTCACAGATTAGACACTACATTACCCTTCAGCATCAGCAACAAGGTCAGGCTTACCTTGTAGAAGAACTTCTTGGCTAGTGTATGCACAAGAATGAGCTTAGCTGCAGCTGCAGTGCCATACAGAAACACAGAAACATAGAAATGGGTGTACCAAGACAGAGACCGTCCAATGACAGAGACAAACACCGCCACTATAAGGACTGTCACCAGTGTGCAGACCCAACTTAACAGTGTTAAGCCAAATGCAATGAAGAAATTCTTCAGGTTATGAATAGCTGTGAAGAAGAAAAAAGAAGTTTCATTCAGTCATGCATTCTACTGCACACTGTCATCAATTGCAATCAAGGTTGCAATTATCCCACAGTATAATTGCTTTAATGACCAAAATAAAACTGCTTGAGGAGTCCATTCTGAAGTTTTCTTAACAGCATGGTCTTAGCTTGCTTCTTTTCAAGTCTTTTTGCAGTCTTCCCTACTGGAAGATTTATTCCCAGAGTACCAGTATATTTTGCAGATTACCATGTTCCCAGTAGTAAAAATTTCTCTAGGGAACCAGTGAAGCCACTCTACTATCTAACCATCTTATCTGATGGTGAAGAAACATCATTCTGAAGCCCTACATCTGAGAACAAAGAGTTTATATAGATAGAAAGCAAATCTTTTTTTTTTTTTTTTCCATTTTCAGATCTTTAGAAGATTTAATTTTAATCTTCAAGAAAGGAGAAGAGATATAATCATGATTCATAAATGACAGACAACTAGGCCTATCATACTGTTTCTTCATCGCAATTACTCATAGTTGAGAGATATAAACACAAAGCAACTTCTGTGGCATGCTGCACACCTGAAATTTACTTCCGAAGTTTATCTAAAAGGATGTCATGATGACCTGACCACTTCATCTACTAATTGCTATTCGCTAAAAAGTAATGTGATTGATTTTTTTTTTTTTTTTTTTTTTTAAGAACTAGACTTACCTCTAGTTTTGGGCTGTATTATTTTCTTGCTTAAATAAAGAAAAGCAATTGCTGCTGTAATATGATTCATGATGGTGCCAACACGAGCAGGATAAGCCACAACAAATAAACCAAGTACATCAAAGAACACAACATTTCCATGTCGGTACTCAAAAGATTTAGCCAGCATATCTGATGTTGCCAGGTATTTTAGGACAGCTAAAATATTGTCACCTATTAAAAAAGCAGATACACAACATAACTACATCAGCGTTGATGAATCAGTACACAGCATTCTTAAAAATAAAACTGTACTGTTTATACAGTACTTATTTATATATTTTACTATTTGTAAAAATAAAACTATCCTCAAAGATATGATATACAAATGATTATTCTGAAACGGGTATTCGATGGTACACACAGCATAGTATTTTCATGAGTTAATCTATCCCTAAATGAGTGATACTAAAATAAATATACTTGTCACTAAAATAAGTATACTTGGGAAGCTTCATGTATTTAAACACTGTTGCAACGAAGGGAGTAATCAAGTTTTCGGTCCATAAGCCCTTCTTCAGTTGATATCAAAGCACTGGACTTCAAGTCTAACCCATAGAAGAGTTTGTAAATTCTTAATCTTCCTCCTCTTCTCCTTGCCTCTAGTAACCCCTTTGTTTTCAGTGACTATGAATTACATGTCCTTCTTTCCCTAGATGACTGTAAGGTAGCAGACAAGGAAGCTATATTCTATTGTAGCCTGCAGGTACTAACCACCTTTTCCTTTCCCACAGTACAGCCAAATCATGTGTAATCAAATGAGAACAACTGTTGCCAACCTTTGTTTTGCTTTTACTTGACCTGTAAAAGTGCTTACTGGCTAAAAAGGTTGTGTGTCTTGTCCGTCCCCACCCCCCACCCCCTTTTTATTTTTTTTTAGCTATGATACGTTTAGCAGGAGATGTTCTATGTAACAACCATGACCAGTAAAATCATATTTCTAAAAGGAATTTAGAAGTGTTACTTTCTCTCTTGAAACTTCATTGGTGCAAGAAAATGTTTAAAACTCTTATTCATGCTGGTCATCTACGTCGGCTTCTGTATAAGCTTAAAGAGGGAAATGGTCAAAATTCAGTAGACATTTAGGATTATGTTAGTTTTCCCCTGGGAAATTTACTGTCATTTTCTTTACTGCAGTCTGTCAAATAGCCTGCTATAAGCAAAACCTATTAGTATAAAATAAATCCTGTTTATCTACAATCTGTGTGCTACCATGTAAGTTTGAGAACCATTCTAAAACAAAAACCTCTCTTGGGAGATCAGTCTCTGTGCCATCAACTTAACCATAAGCTTCTCATGATGAACATCATTAAGGGACTTACTGAGAGAAAAGGACTGCAGAACACAGAACAATCAGGTATCAATGGCTAAATTATAACCTTAATTAGATTCCACAGTTACTTTCAAATCAAAATCACTGAATGCTGATAAAGCTTATCTTCCCAAGTTGACCAAACCTTTGTATTTTAAATAAATGCATTTAGTTAATTCTTTGTTCCTTAGAACATGCCTAGCATGTTCTAAATATGTAACTAAAATTGTTAATTTCTTGCAATGGTAGTCTTACAGCAAAATGAAAAAGCAGCTACAACACTACTCTTTAATAAATTACCAAATTCTTGAAATACCAACCTGCTCTCTGAATGGAATCTGTTAAAATTCTGTCTGACGTGTCATATTCTGTATGATAAATGTAGCCATTTTCAATAAAAGCCAAGTCTATTCCTACAGAGAGAGAAAAACCATGTTTGAAATAATGTAAACCTAAAACCTCGAAACAAACATATGAAAGCCTCAGATATATTTCACACAAAATGTCACTCTACTTTATAGCCCACTCACTATCCCTAAAGATGAACAAAACAGTCTTTTTGGTAGAAGGAAGACTAACTGGGATTCTATGTATAATTAAAAAAGGACACTTTAAAATATCTGTCCTTTCTAGTGTGTTGATTTGCATGACATCTGTACAGAAACTGATCTCTACTGGAGAAGCATGGGAAAAACCTTAATCATTGCAGGCTCAGAAAAGATGTACAATGTGCATTCCAAACATTTACTAGTAAAACATCAATAGAGATCCACTCTGAAAAGTAATGAAAAGCAGAACTGTGGAACTATAGAAACACCTTCTCAAAATACCAGGTATGTTCTTTTTACTTCTAGTTTGTAAAGAGCTTCTCAAATAGCCAGTCTGAAAGCTCATGATTTAAAAGTCAAAATAATTTATAAAAATAAACAAAAAATATTTACCAATAAAAAAAGGTTTTCTGCAAGATTAATTATACATTCAGTGCATCCCAAACACATACCCCCTCAACTGCGTATGCAAAAAGTTGCTGTCTGCAATCTGTATCAGAACAATTTTGCAGATTTACCAAATCAGACCTCAGTTCTACCAGTGGACAAAGAGGAACAAATTATTTCTTTAACTCAATTATTTCATTTCTATTTGTTTAGAAAATACAGGGGTCAGTGTGAATTAATTTACCATTTATGATCCAGGTACAATTCTGAACAAAGAAAGAACACATTGCACAAAATCAGCTATGTTATTTTCAGGCTAGAAGCGTACTTTGGAACAGTTCAGAATATGCCAGCATGTTTTGTTCAAAGAATCAATTCACAAATATCACTTTTCTTGAAAGTGACTCCAATGGCAACCTGTGCCAGACAGCAAGGACTTTACAGAAGTTTACACTCCTCTGAATTGTGTTCACCTTGTGTGTTCCACATTTTTTCCTACCAGTGATTCTCTGCAGAGTGGATAGCAAACTGTACACTGTCATGGCTTGATCCTGGTCAGCAGCCAACCACCCCACAGCCGATCACCCACCCTCCCCCCTGCCTGGGAATGGGGGAGGGAATTGGAGGGGTAAAGGGAGACTCACAGGCTGAGATAGAAACAGTTTACTAATGGTAATAAAATGAAAACAATGACGGCATTATAAAATATAAACGGGCAATGCACAATGCAATTGCTCACCACCTGCTGATCAATACCCAGCCCGTTCCCAGCTAGAGATCCCGAAACACCAAGATCCCACAATCGCAATCCTGGAAGTGAGAGAGAGAGAGGGCCTCTTCCTGACCACCCCTCCTCTATATAGTGAGCATGACATTACAAGATATGGAATATTTCAATGGCCAATTTGGGTCAGGTGCTCTGGCCGTGCTCCCTCCCTGCTTCTTGTGCACTTGCGCATGAGCAGAACATGGGGAGTTGGAGAGTCCCTGAAGTCTCGGTAGCAGCTGAAAACATCAGTGTGCTGCCAGCATTCTTCTCATACCAAACCCAGTGCTGAATTTAAAACACAGCACTACTCTAGTTACCAAAAAGGAACATTAACTCTATTCCAGCCCAAACCAGGAATACCGATTAGCAAAACCAAAGAGCTGCTGTCCTGTGCTTGAGTATAACAAAAAAAGAGTAATGAAAATGCATTAATTACTAAGTCACTATCTTTAAAAAAGATGAATTTGGTTTATCCATTAGGTAGACATCTAATTCCTGCAAGGAGGTTATTAGCATAGTTACCAAAATGTTTCAAACTAGAATATTTAATAGTGCCCTATTAATTCCTGGAGTGATTTCCCAAATTTCAGGAAACTGTTCTACCATGTAGTTTCTTTCAGGAAAACAAGCCTCCAAAAAACATCCTAAAGCAGTCTCCAAAAAGCAAATATAAAGGGTCTGGCCTTAGCAAAAAAAGCAGGAAAATTTGCTCCCAAACTGAAGGACAAACCAAATTTGAGAACTTTCACATAGTCAGCTGCAGAACAGTCTCCTTGTTATAAACTTAAGATAAATGGTTGCATAATGCACATTGACATGTCTTCTGATGACATACCTGGAACATTGCCAAAGTCCCTGTAGATACGGAAGTCTGTATCTGCTGGGATAATACCACTCTGAAATATTTCCTGTGCCACCACAGAGGCAAAGGGATGTTTGGCTGCAACTACGTATGCCTGTACCAGCCAAGGATTCTCAGGTCCTAACAAAAGATGAGCAGAGTTCACAATAAATACTTTTGAACTTCAGTTCAGATATGTATCTTTACGGTAACAAATAAGTAAGGCAAAGGAACTCAGAGTTTTAACACTGTTGTCCCACAGGGTATATACTAAGTGCATTTGTGTTGGCTGAATGACTCACACTTGAGAGAAAGAATTAGATACGCTTGGCGGGGTGGGGGGGGAACCACAACCACTGATGCCTTGAGTGTTCAGTGACAGAGTAGATGAGTCTTTTTTGGGAGATGGCTTAACACTGATGAAGAAGTCACAACTTTCAGCCGTTTCCAACTTATCTTCTATGTATCACACCTCAAAACACTTATTTAGAGAAAAGTCTCTCCACTAAAGCATTCAATGCAAGTAAAAAATTAAGTAGCTCCAGCAGAAGGAAGTCTGCAGTCCAACTAGGGCAGAGCAGTTTAACTGCAGCCTGCAAAACACAGAAATTTTGCTGCTTCCTGAGCAACAGATGGAGTTCTAATGCCAACATCTCTCTGGAAAGATTTTGAAATAACTGCTGTGAAAAATAAATGAAGTATGTGAAAGCATGAGTATGCAAGACATGCAAGACATCCAAGTCTCTTTTTCTCCTTATTACCTTGATGTAAAAGGGAAATACAAATTCTGTAACTCTGTTCTACACTGTCTTCCCACCTATGGGGGAACTTCTGTGGCAGTGCTTTAGCCCACGTGTATCTAAAGAGGGAGAGCAACTTACTTGCTGCACAGGGTTAGGAAAGAGGCACAGAGGTTCTCCTGTCTTTTGCTTATGAGTCACTTTCAATACTCCCCCAAGTCTATATTGTTTATTATCAAATTATCCTAGTGTAGAAACTGGACACAATGCAAGCTCATACCTGTTTGAAAAACAAGCTCTTTTCCTCCTACACCTGCTGCCTCGAGGTTAATAAAAGCTCTAATTGACTTGGCCCACTCATGTTGCGTAATGAAGCCGTGACTAGCCTTGATGGGAAAAAGAAAAAAAAATAGTTCAGGTATCTTCCATACCAGCCTAGATGTTATTTTCCCTCATGTATGATCATAACTCAAGAATGGACAAGGCAGCCAGATCAGTTACAACACAAACAGATGCAGAAAATCAAAGTCTTCAAATTAAACTGATATGGACAATATTCTTAATCTATGTATATTTTTCCCTTTGGAATCAAATACGTTTTCCTCAGAATGTTAAGACTGGCATTTAACTAATATGTCAACAGCTTAAATACAAGCCATATCTGCCGTTACTCTTCCCTCTGTCAGTCTTAATACACAACTTTGATGTGTATTTTATAGTTCTGGCATATTCAGCATATTCTCACCTGCAAAATATTTTCTTCTGCACCATTAAACAAGAATATGACAGCATGCTGCAGGGGCTCTGATGATTTTGAAAGCGTGTTAAGTATTTCAAGCATCACTGCGCAGCTAACAGCATCATCACTGGCACCTTAAAATAATCAGCAGAATAGTATGACTTACAACAAACACATAGAATTGCAAAAAGAAGAAAAGAAGAAGAAGAAAAAAGCTTTATGCTATCTCAGTCCCTTAATCTAACTGAGGTATAATTATGTAAAGTTTTAGTATATTTTCTGCTATTGCTTGTACCCTGTGTCTATACTAGTTAAAAGCAACAGCAGAAAGAAAAATAATGTTGAAAAATTGTGCAAGTGAAATACAAGATATCAGATCCAATACCAATGTTCAAGAAAAGTAGACTAAGCATGTTACTAACCAGTAAGCAAAGTGATCATTATCTATTTTTCTAAGAATTATATGAATAAACAAGAACATAATTTTTACTTACAGGATACTAAAATTTTAAAAAAGAAACATTCCCACACAAGTCACCCTAAAGCGTTCTACACCGTTACAGTGCACTCAATTAAGTGGGTAAAACCTCAAAGCAACATAAGGCCAAGACTGTAAAATAAAGCAAGGGAAACACCAGAATTCGCATCTTTAAAACATTCTTAAAGTATACATTACAATACAGTATTTTAATGATCAGATACTTCCCACCACCCTTCTTTCTTTGCATAAAACCGCTTTTGATCTGAGATCAGTAGTCTGTTCTCAGAGTTCCTCATTCAACACTACGCTAGACTTAACTTCCTCACACTTCCTTCCATTCCCTGCCATTTAAAAATCTTGATTAAGCATCCATAATTTAGTCAAGGTCTCCCATTGTCTCATTTCTCTCACTTTGGTGCAATCTGCAGCAACTCCCAACCCAACTCTAATCAATAAAATTTGGGAACAAACAGATAAATTTAACCTCACCCCTTTAGACCTGGGTTGCATATATGATCCCAACATGCTTGAAGATGATGACAACCGAGTGGTCAGGACTCAGCAGGCTATTAGGGCAGACTCATTAGCTGCTAAAACTGTTTAATTTACATATAATACCAGCATTTCCAAAGCATGTACTTTGGCAAAATTTAGACATATCTGCCCTTTCTGTGAAAAGGGCATATTCCTGATATGAACACAAATCTCAGTCAAATTTTAGCCTTAGCTTATTGTATGGAAGTACTTTAGAATAAATAAACAAACCCAAAATCTTTCAAATACAGTGTTCTCTAACTTATTTCTCAGAAATTAATGCCTTGTTCTGCCAAAAGCTTTCCAAAAAGCGCCCCCAAATTTCTGATTTAAAGCCCTGATTATATTGATACCCAAATTTATTAGTAGCCTTCTCTTAGCCACACTGAGCTCTTGTATCTAACTTACATTGTGTTGAAAACTCCGCAGAGAAGTGATTATAGTTTCCAGCAAGATTAATCACTTACCTGCCTTGCTGTGAAGCTATGAAAGGTAAGTTATTGGTTTCAACAGACATACAGATTCATATGTGATTAAAGCAGCCATGTAGCCATAGACTATGACACAAGCTCACAGTGAAAGTATCATCCTCAAATACTTCCTTTACAGCAAAACTGATGGGAGGTTAAAACAGACTTTCTGGCAACTATCAGTAACCTAAGAAAACACATTATTAGCTACTTCTGTGATTATAATTTTAAGGATGTTTCTGCCTTCAAGTTTATTACAACAAGAGACATCTTTCAGGAGTTTAGAGTTTACATTTTTCCTTCACAAGGAACTCAAGCTTTCTAACACTGAAGCTCTAATGATTTAATAAGCTTTGTTTTACTCATTTCATATGCATAAGCATCAACAACAGATTATGTTTTATTATCTGATTTTCAAATATTTTACCCATCGATAATTGAGTCCTGCTGATTCTGGTTAACTACTACATTTTCAGTAATGGAAAGAAAGCTGCAAGCAAATAACTTATACAGGAGCATAGAAAACAAAAGGTTCTTTCTTAGGTTATAGTATAAGTTTCACACTAAGGAAATGAAAGACAGAGTAGATCCTCTTAGTTGTGATAAAGGGCTAGGCTGTTTCATGATTAAAGGCAAGCATATAGGCTGATTTTTAGCTCCTCCACAGACTTCTGTATAATGCTATACAAATCACTATTTTTTGGCACCTCTGCGCAAGGCTGGTGAAGTATTTACTGATTGAGTAACTGTAAATAAAGTAATTGATGTAGACGTAATCCTGTGTTAAAACCCAAAGAAATGGATACACAATTTACATAGGGCTGGAATTTAAAGATGGTTTTTGATACTTATTGCGTTACGCTTGTGAAGTATCATTTCTAAGTCTAGGCAGCCGTATTTAGACTATAAATATGGTAATTAGCATCTCTGCAGTTCCTAATTCACATAGCATGTGTAACAAACATGCAGTTATTAAGCTAAGTTTGGAAACTCTTCTTGCCCAAATATGATTGAGGAAAAAGAAGTTGTGTATACTATTTGCTGACAGAAAAAAGGCACCATGAGTATGGCAAGTGCTTTTTTTCTCTAGCTAATACTCAACTGTTTTCTCAATAATGAAGACTATTTGCACGTGCCAAAGAGCAGAAGTTTACCTCCAAAAATAAAATATCATGTGGGGTGCAAACTAAGAAACTTCAGTAAAACCTGAGCTGTTGATGACTGGAGTCTGTACGTATTTTTCAACTGCAATAACAAAAATACACTTGCAGCTGAGTGTTACAGCAGCTTCCCAGCACTGTTAAAACTATGTATTTACAAAGCTGTTTACACCCTTGTTGCAATAATTAACATGATAAGATTTATAAAAATGCAGAGGGACAAGAATGAGAGAGTATGCACAGTGACAGTGTAGCAGCGAAAGATGTACACACTACCAAGACAACAGGACCTTAATCTTTGATCACTATAGTCTTTTGAGGCAGAAGCTTTGAATGAAGAAAGAAAAAACCAATAGTTTAAGGATATCGCACTAAAAATCTGAGATAAAGTATGATAGCAGCAAAGGGAGGGGAAAACACAGACTAGTTAGTAAGGGTGTGAACAGGCTCTGGCACAGAGCATCCTGTGAAAGGAAAGCCAGGATTAAATCCAGGATTAAATAAAGTATGGAAAGACCTGAACAACAGGTGGAAGCAGCACATGAACAACATGCACAAGCAGTGAATTACAAGAAAGGCAGATAAAACCAAACTTTATAGAAACCTAAATATAGTATCTGTAATTTGCCACCTACCAGAAAGTGCAAGTGAAATCCTGACTTTAATAGGGCCAACCCGTCACTCTAAACACTGAAACTCACTGAAATCAAGCAGACTAGTTGACATGTGCAGTATTCTAGCACGTGGCTATAAGGCTACTCAGTATGTGAAGACAGAGAGCCAAGTCCTGTGGCCTATGTAATACACAGGAACACAGAATGAACACGAGGACCTACCCGGGGTATTTGGTACAGAATCAAAGTGACAATTGGATAACATTGCGTGCTCAGCTCCATGTCGGGGTTCCAGCTTCACTACGACATTGGTTATGTTTGCGTAGTAACTAGTAAAGCCTCCTAAAAAGTCAATGCTGAAGGAGCCTGTGGGCCTCTGTATGTCTACAGATATCTTGTGAGCATCTGTGCTTTCTTTTTCTATTGCCCTAATTTGCTCTAAGAGGTAGTTTACTGCAAGAACTTCATTTTCCGGACTTCCAACTGTTCTGGGCCCAATTGCTGTTATGCCGTCAAGATATCCCCTGTAAGAGATAAATTACACATTCAGCATCAATGCATTTTACATTTAATGCGTAACTTCACAGTAAGTGGAAGACACTAAAGCCAACTAGATGGTGACTGTAGTCAAGATGCCAAAGATCATTATGGTAATGGGCATATAGTACTGACCTTTAGTCAGGGCTCCTCATCCTACCTATCATGATATTAAATCAAGCTAATAGTTTTCCTGTTTAAACATATGAACCCAAAAAGAAACAAAAGAGTGAATGGAGATTTGATCTTTAGCAAGGTTCTGCATGTGCATACATGCTCTACCCCCCCCCCCCCATGCCTGAATAAGCACACCCTTAGTAAGATTTACACCAAGTAGAAATTTGCAAAGAAACTTTCACAGACACTAAGTCCCTTATAATGCTACAAGAATTAAACTATGGAAGACGCATTATTTGATTAGCCCCCAACAGCACCTTTGGGAGGCAGCCGATACGAGATCTGCAGCCCTTACAAAATTTTCACCTACTTTCTGCAAGCATCCAAGCGAGCGCAGAGCTCTCGCCAGGGCAGGAGAGACACCAGCGCGCTGCCAGGGCCAGCGACCCACCAACGGGCGAGGGAAGCCGCCAGCGGCCCGGCCAGCCGCCGGGACCCCCGGAGCGCACACCCGCTGCACCCTCACCAACAACGGGGCGCTCCGCCGCCCGCAGGCAGGTCCAGGCCCCCCCCCCCCCCCCCCCCCCCCCCCGCCGGGAAAGCAACCGGCAACCGCAGCTGCCGTCGGTGCAACCCCGGGCGGACTCTGCCCCGTGTGACGGGAAGGTCTCACGGCTCCCCGCCGCCCGCCCGGCGCGTCCTCCACCGCCACGGTGAGGGCCGGCGGGGCAGCCCCCGGCCCGCCCCCACGCCCGTACCTGGCGCGGTGGGCGCTGAAGTCGCGGGGCCCGGCGGCGGGCGGCCGGCCCAGCAGCTGCCGGTGCGAGACGTGCACCAGCGCCCGCAGCGCCAGCAGGTACAGCAGCACCGCCGGCGCCCCCCGCGCCTCGCCCAGCGGCCACCGCCGCGAGCCGCCCCGCTTCTTCCCGCCGGGGTCGCGGTCGCCGTCCTCCCGCGGCGGCGGGTGCCGGCGGTCGCGGTGGCCGCCGGGGGCGCGGAGCCGCCACACCGCCGCCTCGCTCCGCTCCATGGCGGGGCGGGGGAGCGGGCCTGGCTGCCGGCGTGAGCTCCGCCGCGCAGACGCGCGATATGGAAACGGACGAGGGTCAAAAAGCGTCCCGGTTTCCACCCCCGCGGGTGGGGGCAGCGGGGCGGGGGAGGGGGCGTGGGCCCGGCGAGTCACGGCCGTTGGGGCGGGCGGCTGCCGCCGTGCAGGCCCGAGGCCCGGCCTCCTTCTGCGGGCGGTCGGCGGGGGAAGGGGCCGGCCCGGTGGCGCTGGGGCCGCCCTGTCCGGCCGCAGCGCCTCGGCGGGCAGCGGCCTGACCAGGGCTCGGACCCCGGGGCGCTGCGGGCAGCCTCGCCTCACTCACAGAGGCGTGCGAGTCTTCGTGTTTCCACAGCGTTTCCCAGGTTTGGTTCGGTTTGGTTTTGTGTTTAATACAACACAAGGGAAAGTGTGCAGAAATCGCCGGGGCGTCAGTAAAGTGTGCCACGAAGCGCTGTACCCGGCTGTTCCTGAAGGTATCCTGGAAAATACTTGTCTCTTGTACCTTGTGTTGTAATCTGGAAACAAAATGAGTGATGACCTGAGCTGGAGAAATGGCTGTTTCGGTGTATCCAGTGTTGCAGATAAACACTGAAGATTGCTGCTTTCAACCCTTTCTCTGTGTTGCCACATGGAAGCTTGCTGACAGGAGTTGCAACACGCTTTGGGAAGAAAAACTCTCAAGGAGAGGTGCAACAAAATGTGATGACTGTGTTCTCTGTACACATCAGGTGCTTTAGTAAATTTCCATACTTTGGTTTAGTAAATTTTCTCATTTGCTTTACTGCACCCTCAGTACAGACAAGATTATTGCTTACAATTTATGCTTTACAAATGCAGATTATGTTACTACATTTAAGACCCAATAACATAGATCCAGGTTTGTTATATTCTGTTTTGTTCAGTTTTTCTTCCTGCTTTTGTTTCACTTATCAGTGTTACCTTCCTCTTTGCAAGTAGACAAACATACCCCCAGATTAGGTTCACAAAAGTAGATTTTACATGAGAAACAGCTGTACTATGAAAAATTTCAATGTAAATGTTTTCTTAAAAAATACAATTGCATAATAAATCCAGTGAAATGCTTGCAAATAACCAAAGCTAACTAAATATAAGCCCCCCCTCCCCCAAATGCGATGGAATGGAAGCTGCCCTGTGAAAATGTCATGTTAATAATCTGCATGATGGTAAGGTAGTATTACTAATATACGTGACAAAATGTGGTTTTAAAGAAAGATGCAGCTAGAGATTCAGTGTAGATCTGCATTTCTCCTTTGAAATTCCTAAGTAGGTCGTGAAGTTGTATAGAAAGGTCAAACAAGAAATCAAGTACAGACTTTAATCTTTTATGTTGATTTCTTGTATAATGTCATTATTGCTAAAGCACTGGGAGCCACCACTCCTGAAAAACTCACCTAAGCATCTTTACGCAGGGGCAGTTCCTCTCCAGCAAGACGTGTTGCTGCATTTCAATTTGACTATGCCAGAACAAGCTCTGTGTTATTGATCTGAAGGGTAATACACAGTTTGAGAAAATAGGAGCTGCACATCATTCATTTATTTTGGCTCTGTGCTTACTTGAGGGTGAGAACTGTAAAGGAATTTCATCCTTTTCTTCTTGGTCTTTTTCCTTTCATTCCCTGTGCAACACTTGAACATTAAAAACCCTTCAGTTAAGAAAAAAACCTGACTATACTGATTTTGGTGACAGTCATATTCCACAGGTAAAAACAATTTTAAGTATTCTGTCAATTCAAGATTCAGAAGTAATTTTCTGCTTTAGAAAGATTTTCTGCTTTTAGAATTTTCTGCTTTTAGATCAGAAAGGCTTCTGATGTTTGGAGTACCAACAGCCCTTCTATCATCTGTTCTGAGCACAGCATTTGATGTGAATTAAGCTGGAAGTATAATGGAATACACATTTTGACATGACTGGAACGTCAGGGTCAACTTCATCAACAAATGCAGTGCCTGTCATTCCTCTGTTAGTCTGGAATGACCAATTTAAGATAATTGGATCTAATTTCCAAACAAATTATTCCACATAGATTCGGTTTGACTTTATGTAAAGAAGGCTGATGCTTAATCTAGTATATTGTAATCCATGCTGCTTCATTTTGTCAGTTCACAACAGAGGGAAATCCCTTGTTCACTGAGCATGAATTACTTGTAAACTACATTTTAAGCAGAAAAATCCAATCTCTCAGCCACTATGAGCCCGTTTTGTTTTCTAACATAGTAGCAAAACCAAGATAAAAGACAACAGGATAACGTTTCTGCGTACAAAGAAGTACAAATACCAACGTTTTTTAGGCTGAGTCTGCCATCAGCTCCGTAGGTTAAGAGAACTAGAACACTGTCTTCAGAATAGCATTTAGTTCGGATTAAAAATAAACAATGATGAAGCATCCATCAAGTAACTGGTAAATTGTTCCCATAGTGATCTTTCTCATTCCAATGTGACTTATTTGTGGCACTGATTTCTTAGCTTCAGTTTTCCATCCATTGGATCCTCTTACATCATTGACTGATACATTGAAAATCCCTTTGTTACAAGATTCCTGGTCCACTGTGGGTATTAATACATCATAATCAAGACTCCTCTTACATTCATCTTCAAGCTTGAGCTTTTCCAGCCCTTTCATCCTCCTCCTAACTGTTCTCTAGTGATTTCCAGTTTTTCAGTAACTTTCCTGCATTGCTGAACCAAAAGGTGAAGTGGTATTCCAGGACTTACACCAGTGCCAAATACAAAGGTAAAATAATCACTACCATGCAGGGAGGCAGAGCTGTTTCTTTGCTTTAACATAAGCATGCTGACACAGTTTTGAAGTGTCAGTTCTGCCCAACTGTTTTGGGGATCTCTTTCTGTCACTACAGCATCTTCCAGCCATCCACTCAGTGTCCCATAGATTCCCTGACAGGCAGGATCTTCCAGACCAGCTTTTAGTGAAATTGGAACTCGGTAGGAAGCAGAAACCCTGTGAGGAGGAGAAACCAGATTTTACATTCTGAGTTTCCAGGGCCTATTGTGTCAGCCATTCCTAGTGACATCCATGGGTTTGGAAAAATCTTGCTTCCCTGCGCTGAAGCCAGTGTTGAACCACTGAGTATCTGAGTCCTTCTGCTGCAATGGAACTAGATCTTCACTCTTCCTTCAGGCATCGGATCTATTGTCTCTTCGATCATAAACTCATCAGTCACCTCACTCCCGTAGCCACAATGTTGTAACTGGAAGCTTGTATTGAATCAATTTTCTACTCTGTCTTCAAGGCTTTTTTTTTGGTCATTACTACCCACAGTCCAGTCCCCATCCCTTAACCATGGCCCACGTCTGATTCTGTATACTGCAAGCTTGAAAATGTTTACTTTGCAGACTTGGTAAGCATTCAGTATTGATTTGAATCAACAAGTGTTCATTATCTGTAGCTATCTTAATCTTAAAAATGAAACCAGGAAGAATATTGTAAGAACTCAGTGCAAGAAGCCACCCTCGTAAAAATACGGGGCAGTCTTGTGTAGTCTGTATTCAGTTCAGATATAAACAGCTGTTCACTTTGAGAATTCTTCTAAGCAGGCACGCTTCATGCTGTCAAGGAAGTTTGCATTTCTTCTTCCTGGTCTCTATTGCCTCGCTTTATCATGTAACTCCACAGTACAACATCTAGCTGTGCAACCATTGCATATAATAGTCTAGTTTAAGAAAATGGCACAGGGAGTCTCATGAGTTTCTATTACTCGATGTTTGTGCTTTCAGATGAATCCTTGTAAATTATTTCCCAGACACTAACCAGAGGACATTTAGGGCTCATTTAGCCAAACACATCCATCTCTTTCCTAAGATACAAGGACAGAAGATACTTCATCAACATTCCAGACATGCCCAAGAACTGGGCATTCCCACCATCATCCTGTAGTTAAAGCAGAATGATTAAACCCAGGTAACTCATTTCAGAAAGAACCACGCACAGATTCTAGATTGATAGGGCACATATACAGTGTTGTTTGCATCAACACTTCTTTTTTTTTTTTTTTTAATAAGCTTAAGCAGTGCTTTTCCCTCTTTCCTGTTTAACAGTACTCATTTTCTGTGCTCCCTCTTTCTTACCCTGTTATTTTGTAATGGGAGCTGTAATCACAACCAGTAATTACATAGAGAAAATTAACTGATTATTGCTTGTCAAAAAACAAAACAAATAACCTGTCTTCAGATAGACTTACCCTCTGTTTGCAGTCAATTCAGGCTCTATATCACACTCTTTCCTGTGGATGCTCTGCCACCTTTTCCATGCTGGCTCAGCATTTGCTTGATTATTAAAGGAAGGCCAGGTCTTACCCTGGAGGGAGGGGAAGGGGCTGATCAACACCCCCTGCTGTGATTTCAGGACAGAAGGCTTTTTCTTCTTTTGCTCTCAGCCCGGAAAGGTTCAGTCAATCATAAACTAATAATAATTTATTAAGTTGATAATAGGATAACCAGAACTCAGTCCAAATATAAGCCTTTAATTCTTCCTTTATCTATTAAATATCTCACCTGTACTGTCTGACAGCTTCTGCCAAACCCTAATCACTCAATCACTTGATTGCTACCTCCTTCTGCTCTTTAGCCCCTCTGATAGCTGCCAGCTATCCCTGCCAGCTATCCTATCTCCACAAAACACAGGCACAGAAATCACCTACTTCATCAGCCTAACAACATTATGCAACCGAATCACCTCCCTGGTTCTCCTTCTCTAATCACATCAAGATTAATCTCTTTTTTTCCTTCAAGATGTCAAGTCTCTCCACACTCACGTATATTTCTTACCCAGTTTGGTTTAGCATCCCATGTCAGCTGTTTTGTCAGTAATGTCAGCCAGTTTAATTCTTCCATAATAGTTTCCCAATCCTTTCACATGCTAACATCTCTCTTACACACAGTCCTCCAACAATTTGTGTTCAGGCTACCCATATTACATCAGCAATCATTTAACACCACATACCAAAGATACAATCATTTTGATTCTGTCATTTTGATAAATATTCTCTTAATTGAGAAATCA